TCCATGGCTCTCCTGAGCCCTGACTCCTGCCCTGCTAGGTGTCACCACGTCCTTCCACTGTTCCCTCACTGCTTGTCTTACACACTGGCCCACAGTGAAGGGCCCTGGGCTTAGAGGTGAGCTTAAAGCTAGTTGGGCCTGGGTGCCACCCAGGGCTGCTCCCATGGCTGTCTGCTCATGCAGGGGGGGTGACATGTGTGGCTGGATGGCCCCCAGTTGGGGGAGGCAGGTACCTTGCTGTGGACTGCCAGAAGGACGCCCTCATCAGGGGGTTGTGCATTTTGCCAAAATCTCGTGTTTAGTTATTAAAATGTGATTGAGTTGGCTAAAATACGACTGGGAACAAGCAAGTGTTCCTTCCCGTTGTGCCACGGTGGTCTCTTTAAGCCACTCTGTCCATACTGCCTGCTACTTGCAGGGGGAATACCTGTCCTTCCTGAGACACCAGGGCCAGTCTTGTTGGTGCACATGATTGGGGGACAGATCCACGGAAATGTTATGACTGTTGGGGACACTTGGCGGTCCTGATGTGCATGTTTTCTCTCTGGAAGTGATTTCTGCAGTCTTGCTTTTCCCACTATTAGGTTGGGTTTTACATACAACTTACTGTATCTGGATTTCTGTAGTATACCTCATACGTATGATTTTTTAAAAATCAAATGTTCCGAATAAACCTTTTTTTTTCTTTTTTTTAACTGATTTGCTGTGTGATTTGCTTTGATACTTGGTCACTTTGTTCTGGAGTTGAAAGTGCCTTTGTGGGTGTCAGTGTCCTGCATTCCGTGAGAGACCTGGCCTGGACCACCCTCCAGCCAATGTGCCATCCTGCTGCTGCTTCTCAGGTGAAGCAAAGTCCCCTTCTCAAGGGCACATTTTATCACCTGAAATGCACCCTCAAATCTTTATTTGAAGGAAGTCTCCAATCAGAACAGAAAATGCCATATTTAGCAATCACTTCTGAGCTGCAGCTCTCAAAATGAATCCTTCAGTGGTTGCCGTGTAGTCAGAGGCATTAGTTTCCTTCAGCTCACACACCTCAGGGCCTGAAGGAAGTGCTGAGCCTGGGCAGAGGAGCTGGTGTCTGCAGCAAGGGCCTGGCTCCTGGACCTACCCTGGGCTCTGGCCAGTCTGCTTTAAAAGGAACAATCATGGATGAGGGACTAGCCACCTCTTTGGAAACCCCCAGGGCAGTGGCAAGGGAGCTGGTGCTCCCTCCAAGGTGGACAGGCAGACCTTCCTTCCTGGGCAGCTCCCAGACCCAGTGCCAGCACAAGAGGGCTTTGAACCTTTGGGAAAAGGCACTCTGTTATACCTGGAAGCAAGGGAAGCACAATGCAAATCATAGCTGTGCAACGCTTTTATGTCCGTGTCGTTTGCAGGAGCTGAGAGTAGCTTACTGCAGCCATAGTCCTGGTGTAGGGACAGGCCCAGAACCCTGAGCTTTGGGCACTGTCCTTGCTGTCTGGTGAGGTCCCTTGACTCTTCCTGCCAGCAGGAGCCAGGAGCAGGGCTTGAAAACCTGGTTCCACTCATACCCTGCCTGCTGGGCCCTCCTGTGGAAGCCCAGCTGAAAAGCCCCTCCAGCCTCTGAGCTGGCAGCAGCATCCCCAGTGCCCTGCCTTGCCTCCACCTTGATAGCAGAACTTTGCCAGTGTTGCTTGTGTGATACAATCCTGAGAGTCCATCTCTCCTCCCACAAAAAATTTGGTGCATCAAGGGGTCCCCAGTGTGGAGACTCTCATGTATGACTATAGTTTGGGGGTGGGAGAAGGGAACTGTCTACCAGTGAAGCTGCTGCTACCTGTTGGAGAGGGTGGGCAGATCTTGAACTCGGGTGTGACATGATACGGGATATATGGTAACAGTGTTTCCGTTGCCCACTGTTTACCCATTTGCTCTGTGACCATAGATGTGGCAGGGGCCTTGCAGACCCCGGACACAAAGTGGACAGGTCCCTTTCCATTTTGCTGAGTCATACATCTGTAATTTTTAAGTTTGATCTCAAGGACCCCTTTAGTCTGAGGAACAACTTGGGACTGGGTTTCTGGGCCCCTTTGTGCTCTCAGCCACTGGAAGCTGGAGGTCAGAGGTTAGCAGGCTTTTCTCTGTTGAGGCCCAGCCATGAGGAGTGATTTCATGGTATGGAGGCAGCAAGGGTCTCTGGGAAGCACTGCAGTTTCTGATGGCCACTTTGGGCAGCTCTGAAGTGCACACAGAGAAGGAAAACTGAGAGCAGGTGAAACTTCTTGTCTTGTGTGTGGAAGATACTTTTGCTGGTCCTTGTTCAACCAAAGATGTCCAGAAAGGGACTGCATGGGAAGTTAACGGAGCATGTCCCGGGTGCTGGCCCTGCATGTGGAATGACTGGTGAGGGAGGGCTCTGGTGGGGAACAGCTGGTTCCACCTTCATTATTACCTCCAGCTACAGATTGTGTAACCAAGAAGAGAACACAGGTGCCCCAGAGCTGTGCCCTGTGCTCTTGCACCCTGCAGACGCTGGTAGAGTGGGCAGGTGCTTTGCCTCCTACACTGGCTTGCAGATATTCAGCTTCTTTATCTGAGGAGGATTAAAAACAGCCACCTCAACTAGCTGAAGTGGCACACTCTTGAAGCTGAGACAGGAGAATTGCTGAAAGTTTGAGGCCAGCCTGAACTAGATAATGAGTCCTCCTCTTCCAAAAACCAAAAGACAAGACAGCTCTCTCTCTCTAGTCAGGTGCTTGCTAGAAGCATTTCACATGCTCAAGTGCCAGGACACACCTTCCCAGCTGGATGGGCCAGGCACAGTGTCACATGCCTTTGGTCTCAGCACTTTGAGGCTTGCCTGAGCCCAGACAATCCAGGCCAGTCTAGGCAACATAACAAGACCCAGCTCAAAGCAACAACTGCATGGAATGATTTGAGCATGTATTGCAATGTGATACAGTGATACATTGAGTAACTGGCTTTTCTGGAGACACCAAGATGCCTTCAGGTCCTTGCTTCCATCCAGTGTTGTGAATTCTGTTTTTTCTTCTTTCTGCTGACATTTTCTGCCACGGAAACAGACCCCTTGCTTTTGATTATGATTGTGAAGGTGATGCCATGTAAGGAATATAGTCATTCAAGTACAGTAAACACAGGCTGCGTGGTGAGGTTGTTTTTCCCCCAACATTATCATTGTTAAAATAGTGCTTATTCAATGAACATTTAAAAATTCCATGAGCCAGACAGCTCAGTTGTCATTTCTGCTCTGTAAGATTTCCCATAAACAAGCCATCTAGATTTAATGTGGTTAATTTCTCTGTTAATGAAACTTCCTCCTAGTAAATAAGGAAATCCCACCTCTCAGGTGCACTGTGAGACTCAGTAGGCCCAGGGCGCTTTTCCAGGCAGAACAGTGACTTCCCACAGAAGCCCACCTTGTCATCCCCGGGATTTGTGAGAATGTCCTGTCTGGCACTGGAGAATTCGGTTGCAGATGGAAGCAGGAAGAGGGCGCTGAGGAATCAGTGGTTAAGGGGGCAGAGCTTCAGTGTGGGAAGATGAGGACATTCTGGAGGTGGATGTGGGGACAGCTGGTCAGTAGTGTGAGCATACCTAATGCCCCCGACCTGTGCACCTGAACATGGTTCAGATGGGAAGTTTTGTGTGTGTTTTACCATAACGAAAATATATCTTGTTGTCTGTTTGCTTTTTGAGACAGGGTCTTTTTCATAGCTCAGGCTGGCCTTGAACTTCTATGTAGCTAGCCCAGGCTGATCTTCGCCTTGCAGCAATCCTCCTGCCTCAGCTAGAATTATAGATGTATGCTGCCACACCCTGCTGAAAACAAACTTGTCCAACAGAGATTAGAAATTTCTGAGTCGACCCAGCATAATCCAAAGGGGTCTTCAAGAGGCAAAGGGAGGGGCCTGGGGATTTAGCTCAGTGGCATAAGCACCTGCCTTGCAAGCAGGCAGTCATGAGTTCGATCCCCAGTACCTATAAAAATGAAAAAGAAGCAAAGGGAGGCTAAGAGCTCAGAGTCACCGTGGTGGGATGGGAGAGGACCTTGACTGTTACTGCCAGCTCTGAAGTTGAGGAAAGTGGACAGAATCCACAAGTCCCTCCAGAAACTGGAGGCAGGAGGAAGTGGATTTTCCACTGGACCTGCAGAAAGGAAGGCAGCCTGGCCATACCATGTCTTTAGCTCAGGAAGACCCTTGCCAGATCCAGACCTACAAAACTGAAGGGACACTGTTTCTTTAGGTTATCAAGCTTGTGGTGTCACCAGAGTCTCCACAGACCATCCAGTCTTCATTACTTGGTGGTTGGCATGGTCTGTGTCTGACCACAGAGTCCCTTTCTCCACTAGGTGACTGCTGGGTGCCCAGAAGGTGCTTTGCTTGATAAATGATGCAAACCTGATGGCATGAAGAATCAAGGGACCCACGTTTGGTGATTTCTCCATGTGATGTTTCCTCCCACTTTTCTGTGGTGCAGGGTACAGAACCAGGACCCTCACACACGCTCTAGTCAGGCACCCTGACACTGAGACACACTCCCAGACTCCCCTCCTCAAGTTTTAATTGGCAGGATCAAAATTTGTCTATATTTATGATTGGTAACATGCTACTTGTTTTGTTCCTTGGATTTTTGAGACACTTTTGCTCTGTAGTTCAGGCTGTCCTTGAACCCACAGCATTCTTCTTGCTTCAGCCTCCCACGAGCTGGGAATAGCGGTGTGTGCCACATCGCCCAGTCTGTCACATATTTTGATATGTGTACACACTGCAGAACAGCTAAACTGAGCTAATTCACGTGTGTTATCGCTTGGGGTTGTTTTTTCTTCGTGATGACAACTCTTAAGTCAACTGAACCCTTTTTGCTTTTTAAGAATGGTTTTTGTTTTATATCGCAATGTTTAAAAAGACTGCGCGCAAGGTAAGGAGCGGGAGACTGAGGCAGGAAGGTTGGAACTGGCCAGGGGCCACCCGCCAAATGTCACCCGGGGGTGGGCGTGGGCGGGGGCAAAGCTTCCGCGCTTGGCTGGCGGTTGGTCCTGCTTGCGGCTAGCAGGACCCCCTAGGTCTCGAGGGACGGATTCTAAACCACTGCCCATTGCCCAGGAGACCCCAGTGATGGCACTGTGGACTCGCCTGTATGGCCGCGTCCTGGAAAGCTCTAGGGTAAGTGAGGCCAGAACTTGTACAGCACCCGGTGAGGTGCTAGAAATCATCGTGGTCAGGTGTGCGGTCGCGGGGATCTCTTGCTGGAGGGTTGCACCTGCCTGGGGTACTACCTGGAAGTCTTCAGCGATTCCTGTCGCCCTCATTAGGCCCGTCTGTCTATGTGACACAATAGCCTCTCATGATCGTACCTCTCACCTTTCCTTCCTAACCATTCTCCACTGTACTGACCTGCTGTATTTCCATTGTGAAGCCTTCTTCTTTTTTTTTTTTTTTTTTTTTTTGAGCTGTAAACTTAAGTTAGGTTGACTGAACAGCCACTGCAGTCCTTGAAAAACATCTCTCTTGAGCCATAGCAAATCCAATTCCTTTCTGTGTTCACTAAATTAAGCCCAAGAATTCAGGCAGGCCTTCCCAGGAGCTGACTGCACACAGTCAATAAGATGTAAGATGTAAGATGCCTGTTGGATTTTGTACTTGTCAGTTTTCCTGGCTGTATACTGCTTCTGTGCTTTTCCTGAAAAAGGATTGAGTGGAATGGGCCCCTACCAGGAAATAGAAAAAACTAGGTAACAGAAGCGCACTTGTTTTCAAAACTAAAAAGTTTGCTTTTGCAAACAAAACCTCACATGGTTTGCTCTATTCTTTATAGGAGAAATAAGTAGCTCTCTTTGGGCCTTACATCTTCCCAGCGTTGTTGTCTTCTTTAGTGTCTTCATGTGGTGGCTTTCTGCATTTAATGGGTGCCTGGGTGTATCTTCACAGAGTATTTGCATCCAAAGAATAACAGATCTGTGAATAAAGAGATTGTCAGCTTTCCTTTATTAGCTACAGATACTCATAAAGTTGTAGATTTGTGGGAACCTGTATTTTCCGTATAATGACTAGTCCTGTGTTTTTGTTCCAAAATGATGTGTGAGGTGATGCCCACCATCAGTGAAGAAGGCCCTTCAGGAGGAAGTGAAAACCATGGATCTGGCTGCCCTTCACAACCAGATGCAGATTCCCATTTTGAACAGCACATGATGTCCATGCTAGAAGAAACATACATTGCTCAGAGCACACTGATAGAGACTCAAGAAACATTGGCGTTGACCCAGGGGAAATTACTCGAGGTTGGTCATGAGAGAGATTCGTTGCAGAGACAACTCAATACTGCGCTTCCACAGGTATGTGTGGTTTTCACCTGAAACTACAGGTTTTTTCTGTTACGTGTCTTTCTGTGGTACCATCTTTTGTTTTTGTACCTGTATATTTTGTGTAACCAACCACTTGTCAAATGATAGTTCCTAGTGTTTGTAAGCGCATGCAGAGTTCCTGGGGATTCAGCTACTTAGGGCAAACAAACTAGTGTTCTGTAAAGTCATGTGAAAATATCTTACTACTTTCACTCTTCACTGAGGAACTGCTAAAGATCTGGGAATGCACTTTGAAGGTTTTTTAAAAAGACTTGAAACAACAACCAAGCGGCATGGTCCTTGGTTTCTTTGATTCTGTTTTGTGAGATCTCTTGCTTAATGTAGGCTTCCCATGGCTTGTATCTCAGGAATTGTATGTGTAGGAATTGTATGTGTATCTCAGGAATTGTATTGCAGTTTTCTAATGAAATTTGGTAGATAATAATTTTTTTTGTTTGTTTGTTTTTGGTATCAGGAATCGAACTGAGGACCTTGCTCTTGCCAAGCAGATGCTTGTTGCTGCTGAGATATTATCTCTAGCCCTTGAAATTTGGTAGACAAGGATTGATTTCACAGAGAAAAATTTTTACAGACTATCTTTACAGAATACTGGTGTTTGTAAATCACATTTGTAATAAGGGATAGAAAACTGGAAATTTATTCTTTAGGAACTTTCTCCTTTTAGACTAGACTTCTAAGTTTAAAACAACTGGGCTGGGGATTTAGTTCAGCAGCATAAGCTTCTGCCTGGCAAGCATAAAGTCATGAGTTTGATCCCCAGTACCAAAAACAAATATATAAAAGTAAAAACCACCTCAAAGTTGGAAACAACTGTAGTTCTTTCTTTAATTATATTACATTCAGCCCAGTATCTCAAAACTGCCTCTTGTGGAATTAAATGGAGACTGAATGGCATGCGAAGGGAGAACATAGTAAAACTAGAAAAATGTAAGGTAAATGGTACACAGCATAGTGGGAGATAAGTAGCTTATTATTTAGGTGTTTATAAGCCATCGAGTACCATTTTACTTGTTCATAATAGTTGCCTTTCTGGTCCATTCAGGTAGACCTGAATAAGCATACATCTATGCTGTCATGATGAGTCTGCAGTGATAAATCAGCAAATGAACACTAGCCCTAATGTATTTGTTGGCTATAGTCAATTCTCCTGAAAGATTAATAAGCCAAGCATTTGAATTTCCTTTTTAGAAACAATAATTTGATGTTAGTGCTATATGTTTCTTTTGTTGGTTAGAGAATCAGTAAATTGTTTGCTTTTGTGGAGCATAGGGTTGAAGGAGGGCTTCATTTGTGTTTGCCTAAGTGCTCTGTCACTGAGCTCCATCCCTCCTAGTCACATTAAGATTTTTCTCATTGGAATCTTATAAATGTCAGAGTTTATTTAGGTCAGATTTTACTATAGAAGATTATAAGAACTGGCCAACTTGTATTTGTGTAGGGAGGTAATGGGGAGCAGTTTATGTGAAGGATTTTATAGTATATACAGGTATTTGTAAATTTGTGATGGTTTAGTTTTGTTTTTGTAATATATTGACTATAATTTGAGATAGATCTACAGTTTATCTAATACATAGTTAATCTATTCAGTTTTTGGAAAAAACAGGCAGGCAGGACCTGAGAGGGAAGTGACAGGAGTTTTGTAGAGTTGGTTTCAGGCAGTGGGTGTTGTCACACCTGCTGATGAGGTGGTTGCCTGGTGATTTGTTTCTGGGGGGTTCTCAGTGTAGCAGCCTGGAAATGCTTAGTTTAGTGCATAATGTGATGATGCCACCAGGTCCTGTCACCATCTGAGCACCTGATGCAGCATTTCAGAAACACAGAAACCATGAAACAAACTTGTTTTGGTCCTTTTCCTTTCCTGGAATCAGGCTCATCTTTGGTAGTTGTTTGACTAGAGAGGCCTGTCAAGTAAGTGCCCGGTGTACTTTTGGCACATTAGGTAGGCAGGTCAGAATGTGCCCTACTTCTAAAAATTGAAGTAAAAGGCTGGGCATGGTAGTGCATTCCTGGAATCTTCAACCCTTAGGGAGGCCAAGGCAGGAGGATCAGAAATTTGAGCCCAGCCTGAGAAACTTAGCAGTTGTCTTAAATAAAAAATAAAAAGAGAGCAGAGAATGCTCCTCAGAATGAAGGCCCCCAACTATAGCAAATATCAGAAATCTTCTCAGCGAATTTTCCATAGAGCCAACGCACTTGAGAAACAGTTCCTACATCAAAATGAAACACTGGAAGCCCCTGCCTAGTTTCCAGTACAGGTGTTTCTCATTTAATTACCTGCTTAACAACTGTTTGGACTTCCCTGCTGCTCAGACTTATGCCTCCTCTTTTTTTATTTTTTGTAAAGTTCTGCACATCTGGTTCAGAGACTCTCAATGGTTTGTTTTTTTTTTTGTTTTGTTTTGTTTTTTTTTTTAGTTTGTAATGTTTATACAGTACTATACTTTTTCTGATGGTACTCTATGGTACTGTAGTTTCATGTTCTGTTGTACATTATATACTGCATAGAAGTTGTGCAAATAAAGGCAAAGTCATCAAGTTGGAGTTTCCTTTGACCATTTCTTTGTGCTGAGTGTTGTAATGTATGTACTATATACAGCTCCTCATTTAGCAACTAATTCTTTTAACGCTGTACTGACAGGAATAGGACTTGGTGGTTAAATGAGGAATCCTTGTACCTTTCCTCCAATTCTAACAATGGTCTTGATCTCTCACCATTGATTATTTTTGCTTCTTCTTGACTAAATGAAGTAAAATAGTACCTATATTGTGTTTCTTGGTTGTTTCATTGTTCATGAGATTTACCTGTGTCCTATATTTTTTGCCTATTCTCATCTGTTGTCTGGTAATCCAGCATACCAATATATCAAAATTTGTTCTTTTCTATTCATGAACATTCAGGTTGATTCCAGATTTTATCAATTCTATCCTGAGTATTCTTGTGTATTATTTCTTTTGTGTATGAGAGTGAAGCTATGGCTGAGCATGGCGGCATATGCCTATAAACTCAGCAGGGCAGAATGTTGAGGCAAGAAGACTGCAAGTTTGCGCCCCTCTTGGGCTTTATACTGAGAACCTGTCTTTTTTGGGGGGGAGGTAATGGGACTTGAACTCAGGACGTTGTGTTGCCAAACAGGAGTTGTGCCACTAAGCTATATCCCTGGCCCTCGGATCCTTTAAAAAAAAAAAAGCAGAGAACTGTGGAGTGATAGATATCCCATGCATTTGCTCAGCCTTAAGAGATATTGCTAAAAGTGGCATTGTACTGACACCAACAGCATGTGAGAAGTCAGTGCGCATATCATCTTTACCCCTGACACTGTTCATTCTTTTTTTTTTTTTTTTAAACTGGTACCAGGGCTCGAACTCATGACCACCTGCTTCAAGGCAGGCACTTATGCTGCTGAGCTAAATCCCCAGCCCCCATTGTTTATTCTTTTATGTTAGCTTTTCTGGTGCCTATTTAATGGGAGAGGTGACTTAGTGAGAGAGGTACCAGAGATCGAACTCACGACTACCTGCTTGCAAGGCAGGTGCTTTTGCCACTGAGCTAAATGCCCAGCCCCTTATCATGTATTTCATGTATTTCTTTAGCATTTCTACTTCTTCATCTGAGAAGGGTCTGTTCATTTTTGATGCCCATTTTTTGAATTTGGGGGTGGTTCTGTATTTTTGAGCTCCTTATATATTTTAGGCATTAATCCTTTGTCTGAGGAACAGCTGGCAAAAATGTTTTACCATCGTGTGGGTTGTCTCTTCACTCTCTTGGTAGTTTCTCTTGCTTTTCAAAAGATTTTGAATAAGATGCAGTCCAAGTTGTTGATTATTTCTGATAGAAGCTTTGCAATTGGGGTTTTTTTTCCATGAGATCTTTGCCTATACCAAAGTCTTCAGTTCTACCTGTCTTCCAGCAGATTGGAGTTGTTTCTATTTTCATATTGAAGTCTTTGAGCTATTTGGATTTTAGCTTAATGCCTGGGAAGGGATATGGGTCTAGTTGTAATCTTTGGCATGTGGAAAGCCAGTTTTTTCCAGCACCACTTCTTAAAGAAGCTATCTTTCTTCCAGTGAGTATGTTTGGCTCCTTTGTCAAAGATAAGATGATTGAGTATGCTGGAGTTGTTTCTACATCTTAAAATCTGTTCCATTGATCCTTGAGTCTGGTTGTTTTGTTTTGTTTTGTTTTGTTTTGCCAGTTTTTACCACAATAACTTTGTAGTATAATTTGCAGTCAAGGATTGATTGGATTCCTTTCTGGTTTTGGTATCAGGATAATACATGCTTCCAGGAATGAATTTGGGAGTATGGCTTCTCTTTCAATTTCTTAAAAGAGACTGAAGTAGTAGTATTAGGTTTTCTCTAAATTTCTTGTGGTATTCAGCAGTGAATCTGTCAGGGCCTAGGGTTTTCTTTATTGATGGGTTTTTAATTACATCTTCATTTTCACTGACAGATACTGATTTATTTAGAATTTTTATACCTTCTTGATTCAGCTGTGGTAATTCATATGTAACTAGGAATCTGTCTATTTCTTCTTTGTTTTCTATCTTACAATACACATTCTGAAAGTAGGTTTGGTTTTGAGGATCTTCTGAATATCTGTAGGGCTTCTTGTGATTTCCACCTTTTGATTCCCAATTGTATGTGTATGGGTCTTTTTTGTTTTTAGTAAGGTTGGCTGAGAGTTTGTCAAGTTCATTTAATGTAACACAGAACTCTTTGTTTCATTGATTCTTTGTATTATTTTGTTAGTCTCCATTGCTTTAACTTCTGCTCTGTTCTCTATAACATCCTCCTTTTTACAAGCTTTAGGCATGACCTGCCCTTGATCTAAAAGCTTGAGGTTCAACAGTAGGTTATTTGAGCTTGCTCTGTTTTTCAGCTATGGGTATTCAGTGCTGTAAATTTCCCTCCTAGGACTGCTTTCATTGTGTTCCTTATGTTCTGTTACAATGTATTGGCATTATCATTTA